ACAAAACCTCATATAATGAGCATCAAAATTGGCGAATTTTTTCTGTAATGGACTAGATAGTAAATATTTTAAGTTTTGTGGGCCAGTTACTTGTCTTTGCTTTTGTAACAATGCATAGACAATGCATATATGAAGACATGGTGTGTTTTCGGAAAACTGTATTGACAGTTACACTGAGCAGGCTGTATTTGGCTCCAGGGCTGTGGTTTGCCAGTCAGCATTCCCAGTGTGCTGCTGTTGTCTTATTCCTGTGTGCTACTTCCCTATCCCACCTCCCTGTCTCCCCGCAGAAATTACCACTATTCTCAATTTGGCTTATTTTGCCCTTGAATTTTTTTTTTTTTTAAAGACTTTATTTATTTATTTATTTGACAGAGACCACAAGTAGGCAGAGAGGCAGGCAGAGAGAGGAAGGGGAGCAAGCTCCCCGCCGAGCAGAGAGCCCAACGCGGGGCTCGATCCCAGGACCCTGGGATCACGACCCGAGCTGAAGGCAGAGGCCCTAACCCACTGAGCCACCCAGGTGCCCCTGCCCTTGAATTTTTAAAAAAATCATTATTTGTGTTTGAAGCATGTAGTCTGTTGCTAAGTTTCTTTAATTTTTGAAACTTAATAGTATATGGCTAACTTGTATTTTCATTGAGTTTTTTTTTTTTTTAAGATTATTTATTTATTATTTGACAGACAGAGATCACAAGTAGGCAGAGAGGCAGGCAGAGAGATAGGAGGAAGCAGGCTCCCCGCCGAGCAGAGAGCCCGATGCAGGGCTCGATCCCAGGACCCTGGGATCATGACCTGAGCCGAAGGCAGAGGCTTTAACCCACTGAGCCACCCAGGCGCCCCTTCATTGAGTGTTTTATCTCTTTTTTTTTTTTTTTTTTAATTAAAAATTTTTAGGGTGTCTAGTTGGCTCAGTCGGTTAAGCATCTGCCTTTGGCTCGATCGTGATCCCAGGAACCTGGGATCCGGTTTCACGTTGGGCTCGCTCCCTGCTTCAGTGGGGAATCTGCTTCTCTCTCTGCCCTCCTCCGCCTACTCATGCTTTCTCTCTCTATGTCTCATGCTCTCTCTCAAATAAATAAATAAATAAAATCTTTAAAAATTTTATTTATTTAGTTTAGAGTGAGAGGAGGGGCCGAGGGAGAGGGAGAGAGAGAGTCTCAAGCAGATTCTACCCTTTGTGCGGAACCTGACATGGGGCTCGATCCCACTACCCTGAGACTGTGACTTGAGCCAAAATCGGAGTCGGACACTCAAAGGACTAAACCAGCCAGGTGCCCCTGAGTGTTTTATTTCTGATATTATCTGTGTTACTGCATGTAGTTTTAGTTCATTCACTTTCATTGTAGTATAATTGTGCCTTCTGCGAATATAGCACAGTTTATTCTCAATGGAAACATGAGCTTTTCTAGTTTCCTGCTATTATGAATAGTGCCACAGACATTTTAGTATATGTGCATGTATGGGGGTCCCCCAAGTGTATGTGCTTTAAAAGCAGGATTCCTGGAAGGTAGAGTTAGTATATTTTCACCTTTACTGGCTAATGTCAGAGTGTGTTCCAGAGTGGTGGCTCCCGTTACGCTGCCTTCCTCAGTGTATGTAGAGATTCCCGTTGACCCATCTCCTAGGCAATCTTTAGTGTTACCAGATACCTAGCTTTTGCCAAATTAGTGATATAAAACAGTATGTCATTGTGGTCTTGAATTGCATTTCTCTGGTTACTAATGGGATTGAATATCTTTTCATGTATTTATTTACATTCATGCTTCCTTTCCTCTGCAGTTCCTGTTCATGCTGGTTCAGTTTTAAATTGGATTTGTCTTTCTCAGCAATGTATAGACCCTATGTGTGTACTGTAAGATATGAAACTTTGTTAGTTATATGTTGCACATATCTTTTCCCATTTTCTGTCTTGTCTTTTTTTTTTTTTTTAATGGTGCCTTAGTTTTAATGTGGTTGAATTCATTCACCTTTGATCTTATGTAGTGCTTTTTTCTTTTTTCTTATTTTTTTTTCTTAAGATTTTATTAATCTGCCTGACAGATAGAGACAGCTGGAGAGGGAACACAAGCAAGGGGAGTGGGGAGGGAGAAGCAGGCCTCCGGCTGAGCAGGGAGCTTGATGCGGGGCTCGATCCCAGGAACCTGTGACCACTACCAGAGCCGAAGGCAGACGCTTAATGACTGAGCCACCCAGGCGCCCCTGTAGTGCTTTTTAAGTCTTGTTTTAGAAAATCCTTTCCTTTCTCCACACACGCACACCCGCACACACACCTTGCTGTCTGTCTCTCTTTCAGGCATTGTCTTTCATATTTGTGTTTAATCCACTGGGAACTAATTTTTGTGTATGTATGAAGTAGAGATCCATTTTCTATTTTTCTATCAGATACCAATACTTTGACATCATTTATTGAATACTCTGTCTTCCCATTATTTATAATTTGTTAGGTTTTTAAAAAATGCTTTTCATTGGGGCGCCTGGGTGGCTCAGTTGCTTAAGCATCTGCCTTTGGCTCAGGTCTTGATCCCAGGGTCCTGGGATTGAGTCCCTCATCGGGTTCCCTGCTCAGCAGGGAGTCTGCTTCCCTCTCTCTCCCTCTGCCTGCTGCTCTGCCTACTTGTGCTCTCTCTGTCCAAATAAATAAATAAAATCTTTTATAAAAAGCCAATGCTTTTCATTTGTGCAACTTGCTAAACTCCCATTATTTCTAGTAATTTATATGTGTAGATAGTAGGTACTGTCTATGACACTTAATGAAGAATGGAGTTTTTGCTTTTTTTTCCACATCACATTTTATATTTTTAAAGTTTGTTGTGGACCTGTAGGAAGATGAGGATCCTAGTGCAATGTTGTATAGAAGCAACAATAATGGACATCTTTAACTTGCTCCTGATTTTTCCTGCAGAGAGATAAGTGCCTCTTCAGGGAGCTAGAGGCTTACTGACCTGGACAATTCCAGACCCCTTTCGGGTTTCAGCTTAATTTAGGAGTTAATTTTGCCCAAAGTTTAACCCCCTCCCCGTCGCAGGGAACGGCCTCAGATAAGCTGCAGCATCACACGAACTTAGTGTGTCGCTCTGGTCCCGTTCCCTCCTGCCCCTCCTCAGCTCCTTGCTGCCCCCTGCACGTCCAGGTCCAGCAACGCAACGGAACAGATTGGATGCAGGGTCTTGTCAGGGAGAAGGCCTCCTCAGATTCTCCAGTCCAGAGTACTGTCAAGCAGAAGGCCCAAGTCAGTAACGATTTTAAAAACAAGAAAACTCTAATGTGTTGCAACTCTTGGCCGGCTCAGTCAGTAGAGCCTGACACTTGATCTCGGGGTTATGAGTTTGAGTCCCACATTGGGTATAGGGATTGCTCAAAAAAAAAAAAAAAAAAAAAAAAACAACTCTAGTGTGTTGAGAGTTATAAACAACCTTCTTATACGTTGGTGGGAGAGGTATAAATTGGTACAGTCTTTCACAAAAACGACAGCAATATATAGGCGCCGTGGAAAGGAAGGGGTATTCTTCAAATGTTAATCATCATTATCTGGCTTTATTGATTTTTTAAATTCATTTTGAATGTCTTCCAGGAGTGTACATTGTCATTGTATTATCTAGGAATTGCTTTTAGAGGACCATATATTCCAAGGAAAGAATCTAAGGAAATAAAAGTAACCTGAAGATTTTTCTACAGAGAGTCTTAATTTGTAATTGGAAAAATTTAGAAGCCACTTTGTTTTATTCACTGCTCTGTCCCCAACTCTTAGAACAATGTCTGCCACGAAAAGGTTCTGGAAGACTGTTGAATGAATAAAATTTGAAGTCAGACTTCTCAGTTTTATGTATTAGGGTTACTTTCTTTTCAGCTGATGTTTGAATTAGTTGGGAACCTAAGAAGATTCCTTGTGTTTTGATTCCCTTGTGTCTTCAGAGAGGGACCAGCTTGTTCTCACTTTGAGGAAGGAGCTCTCATTAATGGCTCTCCTGAACCCTCAGTGGGTGTTTTATAGAAGCTGCAAAGGAGCTGTCCTCTTTCCTGAGATAGTAGCTTTTTTCTTTCAGGATGGCCCAGAAGGTCTTGAGGAAATAATAGAAAATAAATGCCATGATGGCCGCCTGGGTGGCACAGTGGGTTAAAGCCTCTGCCTTCGGCTCAGGTCATGATCCCGCGGTCCTGGGATTGAGCCCCACTTCGGGCTCTCTGCTCAGCGGGGAGCCTGCTTCCCTCTCTCTCTCTCTCTGCCTGCCTTTCTGCCTACTTGTGATCTCTGTCAAATAAGTAAAATCTTTAAAAAAAAAATGCCATGAGGAATAGGTGCTTCTGCTTCTTTTAGCGTAAAAATGAACAACAGGAAAGCAAGTGGATGATGAATAGTGATTCCTCATGGATCCAAGGGGAGCGTGAAGGTGTGGTAAAGGGAGAGGACTAGAAGGGTTGATAATTGATTGTTTTGAAGACTGTGTTAGTAAAATTCTTTAAAAAGTGAGATTTCGTGAAATGCTAGGGAGTAGACTACATCCCCCGGAATGAAAACCAGGGGAAGGATATTCTGCGTGTTCTGTTGTGGACTAGGCAGCCCTTAATCTCGAGAAGGGAAGGAAGGAGACGGTACAGGTACATTCACACAGAGGTCCATTAGCAATGTGGTCATGGGCAGAAAGTGTCAGACATGGTTGGGACTCCCTCCCCTCTCTTTCTTTCTTTCCTTTTTTTTTTTTTTTTAAAGATTTTTATTTGTCAGAGAGAGTGAATATGAGCTGGGAGAGGGGCAGAGGGAGAATTGGACTCTCCGTTGTGAAGGGAGCCAGATGTCAGGTTCGATCCCGGGACTCTGGGATCATGGCCTGAACCAAAGGCAGACACTTAACCGAATGAGCCAGCCAGGCGCCCCTCCCTCCCCTCACTTTCAACTAGCAAATGTTAAAATAGGTAGACTGAAGATTGCATTTTCTGCTCAGCTTGGTCGAATAAACCTGTTTGGCTTACTGTTTTCTTCTTCGTGGTCTTGTGAACAGATATTGCCAGTGAATTCAAAGAGCAGTTACAGGTCTTGATCCCATTTGTGTTAAACCCAGCTAACTTAATGGAAAAGGAGATCAATGGCTCAAAAGTCACCTGTCGGGGGCTCTTGGAGTATTTTAAGGTAAATATGGGTTTTAATTATCAAAATATTTGACTTTTGGTAAAACTGATCTAGGTCATAAACTAACTTGAATTTTACTATTTTAAAGCTTAGGGACAAGTTTCTCATGGGGGAGATGGTGAGAGGCATTTTCAGAGCCTCCAGTGTCCTTCCAGGAGTGGGCCACTGGGTGGCAGTATCGGTCTAAGAACCAAATGGATGTTCTTTGCACTTTCTTAGAGGAGTAATTACTGTGGCTAAAGGAAGATGGTTCCTCAAGGAAGATGGTGTGGACAGGAGGTGGTTAGGAAGTTGCCGTGAGTAGGAGGAGACGGCACCTAGATGTGACATGGCTTCTTCAAGGCGGACGGTCACTGTGCCCACAGGTAGTGGTGAGGCCAGTGTGCATGGGGAATCTGGTGGGACTCCTAGTCTTGCTAGGCTCGTGCTGCTTGAGAACAGTTTTAGATAACTAAAAAATGCTAACATGCACTCAAATGTGTGTTGTGTTTTTGCTAATTCCTGGGTGTTGATCTAGGTCTTTAGGAAAATGCAGTTTGGTCACTTTCTAAACATTAAAGTATTATTAAATGTGACAGAATCACATTTTTCACAGTCGTTTCTATGTTTATATTCTAAGGCATATATTAAAATTTACCAAGGAGAAGATCTGCCTCATCCCAAATCTATGCTTCAGGTAAGCAGTTCTTTGACGTCCTAAATGATACTGTTTGGTACTTGTTGACCTACACGCAAGAAGCCACGTCCTTTGAGAGTGTGGGTGCCTGGATGGCTCAGGCAGTTAGGCGTCCAATTCTGATTTGGGCTCAGGTCATGATCTCAGGGTCCTGGGACTAAGCCCCGTATAGAGCTGTGTGCTCAGTGGGGTGGTCTACTTGAGAATTCTCTGTCTCCCTTTCCCTCTACCCCCCCTCCCTGCCACTTGTGCACGTGCTGTCTCTCTAAAATAAATAAGACTTAAAAAGGAATACTGTTGCTCTCCTTGCCTGTTTATGCTGAAGTATGTTAATTTTTACCACATTCTTCATGGTGACTGTCCCTGGGTTTTTTTGTTTTGTTTTTTTTGTTTTTTATTACAAGATTTTATTTATTTATTTGACAGGGAGGGAGCCAAGCAGGGGAGAGGCAGAGGGAGGGGGGAAGCAGGCTCCCCACTGAGCAGGGAGCCTGACATGGGGCTCGATCCCAGGACTTTGGGATCACAACGGAACCAAAGGCAGATGCTTAATTTACTGAGCCACCCAGGCATCCTTGCTCCCTGGGTTTTTTGTGTATATTCATGGGGATACAGTTAAAGCAGAACAGCCCCTCACTGGGCCTGGTCTTCCCACCAAACGTACTGTGGAGAGCACTGTTTTATTATACCCAGGTAGAACAGGCCCAGTTATCTTAGACAAATTATTGTCCTGTTACCTGTTGTCTGCTTTAGTAGAACACGTCCTGGCATACCTGTTTACTGCTTACTGGTCAGGTTTTTTATTTTCAGCCACTTTTATTTACAACATTTTGCTATTTTCAAGATGTCATTTTGTTAACACAATTTCTGACTTTCATGTGCAGAACATAAGGCCGTTTACTGTCAAATGTTTCTTTAAAAAAAATATTTTATTTATTTATTTATTTTTAAAGATTTTATTTATTTATTTGAAACAGAGAGAGAGAGAGATCACAAGTAGGCAGAGAGGCAGGCATAGAGAGAGAGGAGAAAGCAGGCTCCCCGCTGAGCAGAGAGCCCGATGCGGGCCTTGATCCCAGGACCCTGAGATCATGACCTGAGCCGAAGGCAGAGGCTTAACCCTCTGAGCCACTCAGGCGCCCTTATTTATTTCTTTGACAGAGAGACAGCGAGAGAGGGAACACAAGCAGGGGGAGGGGGAGAGGGAGAAACAGGCTTTCCGCTAAGCAAGGAGCCTGATGTGGGGCTCCATCCCAGGACCCTGGGATCATGACTCGAGCCGAAGGCAGACACTTAACTGACTGAGCCACCCCGGCACCCCATGTTTATTTCTTTAGTAGCAAAATATTTTCACAAAGAAAGCTAGAGTTTGAGTCCACATAAAGACAATTTTTTTCCCTTCTTTTTTGACCCACATCTATTTCTTAACCCGCATCTATTTCTTAATGGTATTTCTAGAGGTTAATTGATGATAAAGACTCTATGTATAAGGATGTTTTTTGGCAGAAAAGGAATATTTTATTTCATAAATTGGGAAATGGAGAAACCTAAAAAATGGCAGAAGTATCCTAAAAAAAAGGAAGAATGGGACAGGGTGAGAGGACGGTGGCACTTGACTATTTGTGGAAGAACGTTAAAAGAGGGGATTCCGAGTTTCTGCTTTTCCTTTCTTAAAAGGCCACCGCTGAAGCCAATAATTTAGCAGCCGCAGCGTCCGCCAAAGACATTTATTATAACAACATGGAGGAGGTATGTTGGGCACGTGTCTCATTCTAACATATCGATCACCGGGTCCTGTTCCTGACTTCGGAAGCCCAAACTGATCCTGTTTACTGTATCTGAAGCCGACGAGACAACAAAGCTGTGTTCAGGTCCCCCTGGTCATTGGGGTCTTCTAGTTCTTTCCATTGCTAAGCAAGAAGAAAGCAAGCTTTCTTCTGGTGCAGTTAATGTCTCTCTGCTTATTTCCGTGTACTTTTCAGAGGAAGTGAACCCAGACTTTACCGGTCTTGGTCATCATTTTAAAGTTAATTTCTCATATCTTAAAATGTTCTGACTTTTTCAGTGTTTTTACTTGTTTCATTGGGCACTTGTTTTCAAAGGGATCTTCAACATGTTATGTCTTTATTCTTTTTAGGTTTGTGGGGGAGAGAAACCTTATTTGTCTCCAGACATTCTAGAGGAGAAGCACTGCGAATTCAAGCAGCTTGCTCTGGACCATTTTAGGAAGACCAAGAAGATGGGTGGGCAGGATTTTAGCTTTCGTTACCAGCAGGAGCTGGAGGAGGAGATCAAGGAGCTCTATGAGAACTTCTGCAAACACAATGCCAGCAAGAATGTCTTCAGCACCTTCCGAACCCCCGCGGTGCTTTTCACGGGCATCGTGATTTTGTACATAGCCTCAGGCCTCACTGGCTTTGTTGGTCTTGAGATTGTGGCCCAGCTGTTCAACTGCGTGGTTGGGCTGCTGTTAATAGCACTTCTTACTTGGGGCTATATCAGGTACTCTGGTCAGTATCGCGAGCTGGGAGGAGCAATTGATTCCGGCGCAGCATACGTACTAGAGCAGGTGAGTGGTGCCGCGGACCAGGCTGCGGGACAGCCACAGATGTTTGTGCCTTTATCGTAGAGTGTTGCCACTTGGAAGAGCTTCACAGTGAAAGAAGGCATGAGAAACTTCCCCTGGCCGGCTTTTGTTTTTCGATAGGCATTACGTTGTCTCATCCTTCTTTAGAATGTCCATATTTATTCCTCATAGTTTGTTTCCATGCCTAAAAACTGCCCTCTGACGCGAGAAAGTTCCGACTTGGACAGACTGTGCTGCTCTTGGGGAGCATCTAACCACATGCTCTTCAGACACATTTCCTGTGTGATTCTCCCCTCCTCCGAGGTTAATTTGCTTCACTGAAAATCAGGAGCTTGGGAAATTTCTCTGTTTTGAGTTCTGCTAATGGGTGGCATCTCTTTCGCTTTAAATCTTTCACAAAGCCAATGGCCGTTGACATTGACGTGTCTTCCAGGTGCACGGATCCTTGAGCCTGATTTCTTTCTCTGAGTACTGCCAACGGATCCGTTAAGCCAGAAACTTTGGAGGAGCCAAGATGGCTTCCCACCCAACTAGGATAGCAGAGCAGAGGCTTAGCTAAGTCTCTGCTGCCGCAGGCTCCCCCGACACCTGCATTTTCATTTCCCGATTTTCTGAGAACCTAACCCATGATGTAGACAGAGATTTCTGAAGGTTTCCCTCCGAAGTCTTTCTCTTGGTGCTGGGTTGTCTTTTATTAACTGATATGTTGAATCAATGGACTCTTGCAGGCTACTTCTCATATGGGGAATTCCACTCAGGCCGCGATGAGGGATGCCGTTGTTGGGAGGCCCCCTGTGGATAAAAAAGCTCAATAGCATCTTGACGAGGGGATCCAAAGAGAACGCCGCCAGCCCTTCCTGATGTCTGGGTTTCTGCCACGCCAGGTCCAAGTGCAGAGGAACGCAGATCTGGGATCACCTGGGAAGAGCTGAAACTCAGCAGTAATAAATTAATAGACCTTTCCCGTGGCTTCAAATTCTTAAACCTACTTCCATTGCTATTGGAAGCATTTCTTTTCCTTGCTGATATAGATCCACGCCTATGTCTGTTTTCTTATTACTCTCTGCTTTGTGCACTTTATGGGGGAGAAAGCTAAAGGGAAAAGCTGCAAATGTGGTTTTAAATCCTGTATGTACCACTTAGTGCCTTTTAAGATTGTATCCAGGCTTTTGAGGACACAATAGGGAGGGAATCGAGAATAACCTCATGAAAGATGCTGTTTTGGGGTGAAACCGGTCTGTTCTTTTATACCTTACTATTTTAAAATGTTTACAAAACTTGCAAAAGCTTCAGAACAAAAGACTGAAAATGACGCCATTACACTTTTAAAATCTTATAATGTTAAAGAATCCTGCTTGCCAGAGAGTGTGGAAAAACCACAACCTATTTAAATCTACCATACACTGAAATCTATGGTCTTTTACTGACAGGCTGACAGTTTTGTTGGAACATACTCTTATTTTATTTTTGCCTTCATTCCTCTAGCTTCTTTTTAGAAAAGAGGCAAACAGGCCTTGAAGAGCCAGAATGGCTCATAATGAAAAGAGTAAGTGTGATACTTTAAACAAAAAAGCTTGAGTTTAAATGTACTGTGTGACCTCTGATAAGTCACTTGAACTTGTGCCTTGGTCAGAGTCACCGTTTGCAGGTTTATATACACATAGGTGTTCATATATCTCACAGTTGTCATTTAAGAGGTCTTGTTTCAAGAGTTCTACATAAGAACAGAACTTTATTGAGGACTAGAGGAAAGACATTACCAGACATCACTGCCTTCAGTTGTCCTGTTTCATGTGGCCTAGGAGTAAATCAGGTCTTTATCCAAAACATTTACTTCTGTTCTCCTGGCCACTAATCTTTTTAATAATAAAACTAAAATTGTCAGTTTTGTTCAGTGAACCTTTCTTTAACCTCACTTGACTAGTCTGGTAGCTTTAAAATAGCTTTGGCTTAGTGAGGACTGAAGTCACACCCAAATCTGGACATGGTCTAGAAGTGTCTAAGAAATCTTTTTATTTACCTTGATTGGGTGATAAAGAACATTTTATCTATGAGTTGCCTTTTCCTTTGATTATAATATAATGGTGAATTGTGGGTTTTTAAACTCCATAAAACTTGCCTGTAAGTATTTACATAAACATTCAGGTAGGAGAGCCTTAATTCTTAAGATAATTTTTATTGTGGGAGGGAGATAGAAAGGCTAAGGTGAAACCCAAGTGTAGATTCTACATACGTGAAGTCTGAATGGAAGGCAGAAGAAAGAAACATGTAATCTCTTTATCAAGAATTTTCTTCTTACTATTTTAAACACTTCACCACTGAAGTATTTTTATGGGTCTGAATTAATTCCAAGCATTTTATATTTTTTTCATGTCTACATACCATCTTGCCCTGAAGTTCTTGCTAGTTTATTCAATTGCCATTAAATTTTAGGAAAGTTCCAGCTTGTTCTAAAAACTGTTTACTTGCATATCAGTGATGCTTAGTGTTGACTGTTGAATTGGAAACTTCTCTTTGAAATTGTGGTACATTTTCAGGTGGCCTCACATCTTTCTGAAGGTTCATAATATTCGCTAAAGGCCTTGCAGATGTTGAGGTACTTGACTTTTAATGCATTGTAAAGGCACATTTATAGATTTCAAATGTTGTCTAAAGTGACGCTTTTAATGGTGAGAAAATGATGATGTGTCTAAAACGTATTTTAATACTAAAGTATTAGAATTTTTAAAGTGAACCAGTATGTGGTAATGTATGACTTTCTTAGGATTTAGTTACTGTTCAGATTCACCATTTCTGTTTCGATCTTAAATAATTTGGTTAATTCCCTGGGGAAGCCTTATTATTTTTGTCTTTATAGGTTAACTTATTCTGGCTCTGAAAAGCATTGGATCAAGTTTTCTCAGTGAAGATCCTTAATGAGTTTTCTTTGGCTTCTTTTCTCTATTTTTACAGTAAATTGGTAGTTTTATATCAACTTTTTCAATAAAAGATGCATTCTCATTGCTGGCTTTGAACAGTCCAGGGAGATTTATAACCAGGTTGAAAAGCATGTCTTGTACCTCTTAACTTCCCTCAGCCTTTAGTTTGTGGGTCAGAGACATTGCTTAGGTGTTCACAGTGCAAATGTTTGCCTGGTGTGTGTAGCTCTGCCACTCCAGACCAGCCTTTTCACAGAAGCATTTATGGTTTGCACGTTTCCAGCAGTTATATGGGGCATTGTCCTATTAACGTATAAAAAGAGGTTTTTAGAATGTCTATAGGAAGTATTCATTTCAGGAAAAAATTTTTTTAAAAATCCAATTAGCTTTTTATAGTAAAAATAATAGAGTCAAAATTTCAATTCTTTCATGAGAAATCTTTCTGGATTGGTTTGTAGATACAGTGGGGGGAAGTGATCATGTGTGATGATCCAGCGTCTTTGGAGCCGTACCCTGTTTTAGCGATATACCAAGAGATCTGTTCCGCGGGGGGCTACCTATTAACGCTGTCTTCGTACTTGGTAGAATTGCCTATGAATATCATTTTGCTGTATCCATTCTTTCTCTTGTCTCTTAACATGAGATGAAAGGCTTTAGGCAAATAAACAGACAAACTGCCTCGTTACTGGCTGAGCGTTCCATTAGCAGGCCATAGCCAGTGTTTTACCTGCCTTATAAAAGTGGTGTCTTGGATAGGGTGAGTTTGGATGGGTCCCTATGTTACAGATAAGTAGGTTGACCTAAACCCAGGCAAAAATCATTGAAAAAAAAAAAGTTTTTATTTTTTCCTGGAGTTTTCTTTCTTTAAGTAGTTTATATGGAAGTCTTCATTAGACTTTTTTTCCCCCAAAGAAATATTGAAATGTAATTTAGGATGATTTAGGTTGGCTGCCATCCAAGGAAGCCAGCGTGGGCTACATCTTCCTGGCTTACATTTAGATCTGAAAAAATTTTAGTCAAGGAATAGGGCGCAATGAAGACAAGCTTCAGTTATGAAAGTACAAACTGTGTAAGTGGTTTTTTAAGATGACATTAAGAAGCCCATTGTAAGAGCCCATTTGCTGTGTTGGGTTAGTTTTTCTTACTTACATCGTGTTGTAGTTCTGTTTTGGCTCTCATCTATGTTAGAGTGCCTAAGACGTATTTGGGAGACTTGTTTAAAACCATTCACTAGCTTTATGTCAGGGATTGCCCTCGTGGGTCTGGATTGTGACCCTGGAATCATCCCTTTGATAGACAGTGTTGGAGGCGGCTCAGAGACCGGTAGAGAGCCGAGCGGACGGACAGGTGCTACGTGCGGCTCCAGGTAGGTTCTCTGCTGCCAGGACTATAACCGATGGCTCACCGTGTTCAGAGTCATAGGGGCAATGTCTTTCATCTAGAGAATTAGCTAAGCTTGTTAAAGCTGTTTTTCTAAATTAAGATATCCTAGTGCCTTCTCTGAAAAATGAATGTACAAGTGTCCTGTTTACTAACAGATGTAATTAGGATTAAAAAAAAACCACTTTTTGAAGGGTGTTTTTTAAAAAGGAAAATTTAGCACTGTGACTTGAACCTCTCATCTTTCGTGCACAGAACACCTTAAGCTAATAAAAATAAAAACAAAAAGGAAGGAGAAAATAACTAAAAATTAGTGACAGAAGTACCCCCATAACAGGAACTTTCCAAAACAGGTCTAGGAGCAGAAGGATTTCAAAAGAAAATGTTCCTCCTTGGAAGGAATTTTCATGTGCCAGAACTAAAATTTAACTGTAGTGCTCTTCTGACCAAGGAAAGGTTGCATTTGATTCCTGAAGATTCCTAATTTAGATGGCTAAATGCTGCCATGGACTTAATCCTTAAAGGGATCCATATTAATCCTGAGCATCTACAAGTTTTCGTTTTCTTTTCTTTATAAAATGATTCGTTGAAAATTCTTTCTCCCAGACCCTTGCCTTTGAATGGCTTTAAAATTTAATACCCGTTTTTAAAAGTGCAATGGGATGAGATTATGCTATTTTAAAAGCATGTTTTCTGTTTCTTAGTTGTAAGGTCATTTAATTGAATAAAGATCATAGCACCAAGTCTTGTGTTTTTTTTGTTTTGTTTTCTTTTTTGTTTTTTTTTTTTTTGTGTTTTTTTTTTTGTTTGTTTCTTTCTCCGTTCTTTAATACGGGCAGGTCTGTGAAATAGATTTGGGCTTGGCAAAGTGAATAGGATATCTGAGGGGAGGGATAATAACTCCATGTCTGGGGTAGTTAGTGGTAATGTGGTTCGGGTGTGTCACCTTTCTTTGTCCTGTGAAAACATACCGGACGGTGTTGCTAGCTTAGTGCTGGAGAAGGCTGAGGACTTGGAGGTATTGCTTAAAATCAAACACAAATTTCATTTACAGTAACGTGGACTTGTGAGGACCCTTGAACTTGCAGCACTTTCATTTGGTTGCCCCATCTGGTTGAATGCTTCCTCTTTGGGAGGGGATGAAGCTCTATCTATCACTGGTGACCTTGGAGCCAGTGGAGAAATTGCACTGGACCTCCCAAATACTGGCTAATTGCTACACATAGCCTATTTGGCCCTGCAGTAAGATTTCTGGTATGTTTATAGTTCAAAACACATACTTGGGGGGCGCCTGGGTGGCTCAGTGGGGAGCCTGCTTCCCTCTCTCTCTCTGCCTGCCTCTTTGCCTACTTGTGATCTGTCTCTCTGTCAAATAAATAAACAAAATCTTTAAAAAAAAAAAAAACAAACCATATACTTGGTGTGGTCAGTAGCCATCCATCCCTCCCTCTCTCCCTCTGTCTTTCTCTCATGGTGGTCATATGGAAGGTGCCAGGCTAGCTGTTGCACTTGCGTTCATCGCAGTATAGTTAGGGAAAGTGCAAACTAACAAATTGGTAGGATAGGAAGGGTGTGGTGCACACCGGAGGGCTACCATCAGAGTGGCGATGCCCCCCATAGCACAAGCCGGGGAGAAGGAAAGAGGTGGGGCAAGTGGGCGTGTGTGGATGGGGAGAAGCCAAGCAAATTATGGTTTGTCCTTGGTGCATTGACATTCTTGCCTTTGATTACCATATATCAGTGTGCAAAGATGAGTTCAACTCTAGCTGAATCAAAGAAGAACTGATGGTAACTGGATGTCTGGGAGCAAAATTGACATCAGGCACTGGAAGAACTCATGTGTCAACAGGGCAATTACCTCTCTTATCTGTGGCGGCTGTATTATCTGTGTTTGCAGATGGATTTCTTCTGTGCCGCAGGGGAGGTAAGGGACAGATGGTTCCAGGCTTACATCACACCACTTTAATGTCTCTGGGGGGAAGAGCCCCCTTTTTTTTTTTTTTTTAAAACCCATTGCCTATTTAAGAATGTGTGTGTACATAGCTCCAACTTAGAGACGGCTTCTGATTGGTCTGGCTTGGGTCCTATGTTCCTTCAGGGTCAGTTGCTATAGCCTGGGGGCTGGGGCCTGAGAGCCGGACTGAGGTCACATGTGTTCCTAGTCACGGTGATGTGGCACCGTGATTTGGCAGGTCCACCGGAAACACACAGTCACCAAGTGAAAGACTGCTGGACAGACAGAAAACAAATGCCCATCACAGTCCCAGTGCCCCAGACTATTGCTCCATTTAACAAATGGGAGAATGAGAAAGCCTGGAACATTTCAGGAATGTTCTTTCAAAGGGAAGTAGGTGGTTATGCTGCACATGTATGCAGGGGAAGCTCTTCAGAGCCTCTCGGATTTGTTCTCATTAGTGGACTTAAGGGGTCTCAGAAATTGGTTCCAGGAGGAAATTAAACTTCACCTTCCTTTTCTTTCATGAAAACCTGATTTTTCTGGTCAAACGGTCACAAAGCCACACCAGAGTAGCCCAGATAAGTGTTAAAAAACCTGTTTTCAGTCAGCAGGGACTCTTAATCTCAGGGTCTTGAGTTCAGGCCCCACATTGGGCACAGAGCCTACTCAAAAAAAAGAAGAAAGACTATATTCAGTTGACCTTGATGGGAGTTTTCCCCAGATGAGTGTTCAGGTTTTGAGAGTTAATGTCAAGTAACAGAAACCCTCGTGTTCTCACAAAATGCTCCTAATGGATTCTGCTCCTTTAAATGTGGTTTGCTGTTCTTTCTTTCTCCCCTCTTTCCCTTCCCCCTTTCCTTCTCCTGGCCTGGCCTTGCTACCTGTCCTACCCCACCTGCTCAGAATCCCCAGAGGGTCTCATGCCTTCAGCATAAGTTTGAGCCATTTTTTCCTTAACTTTCTCAGAGACCCCAAAACACTGGATTCTCCTGGGGGAGCCATTGTCCTCATTAGAAGGCAGAGAATGGGGACATTGCAAATAATGACCATGACCCCGCCTCGGCCCACCGTCACCCCGTCCCCTGCCACACAAAGAGCAGGGCTCCATGGCTGTGGTTGCAGAAAAGACCAGAGGCTTTGGAGTCAGCGCTCAGTTTGATCCTGGCATGGCTTCCCGTGGGAACATTGGTGGTGGACTTGGGAAGGGGCCTGGAGACACTCTTGCTGGTGGCGGCACCAACATCAAGTGGTAGCTTCTTGGCCTGGGGTCTTACAGAGCTCCGCTTTTCAGCGCTGTGTGGAAGGTGAAAATCACTTTCCTGACATCCTCATTCGTCAGGATGCTTTTTGTTTTGTTTTCCCTGGCACAACACTCGGGAAATGGGCAGTCACCTCCGGGCAGTTCTGAAAGCAGAGAGTCAGGAGAAGCAGAAGTCAGTCTGGTGTTCTCCAACCCCAACCTCTGCGCCTTGGGTTTGGAGTGTTTACGGGTAGTCACTTGTTTAATATGCAAAACGATTTGTTGGGTAAGTAACAATGCCCATAAAGCTCTGGTATGTATTTGCGTTGCCTCTGACTCTCCCATTGGGAAGCTGGTGACTGACGTGTGATGTCATTGACGAGCCTGTGCTTTTCCTCCTGTTAACAGCTGACGTGTCCCCACGAGGATTTACCACGTGCCACGCACCAGGCTCCGTGCTTCGTAAGCATCATTTCATCTGCAGCTCTCCCTTTGGGGAATGTATTTTCACCTGTGATCTTACATATTGTCCAGCATCACCATCGCTCTGTTTACAAGATGAATAGACCAGGCTCAGAGGGGGACGGGTGTCCCAGACCCTACAGCCAGCAAGTGACTGGGCCAGGATGTGGCCCAAACATCTCGAAGGCAAGGTGTAGGGCTGGCTGGGAGTGGGGACAAGAGGGATGAACAGGAGCTTGTTCCACTCTTAGGGAGCCAGAGTCCAGCCAGAGCCGGGTGCCAGGAAGGGCCTGTGTCTGGTCATTCATTCATGGAATTTGAGCTGTGGACTTGGTTTGGGGGGTATCTGATGGCTTAAGACCCAGTCGTTAAAAGGGCTTTCTTTCTGCCGGACTTCTGAAAGCCTTCACATGGTTTTCAAATTTAATATAGTTTTAAACTGTAAGCCCACTTGATTGGAGGAGATAAGTAAACGGATGACAGTCCAGCGTGGTTTGTATCCAAGTGGCTGTGTAATACAAGATGGGCGGCCCGAGGCGCGTATGTGGAATCCGCGAGGAGGTGGTGGCGCTGGAACTGGGTTCAGGGGCACCTCTAGGTGGAAGAGGGCGTAGGGAGTGGCGGTGAGTGGGAGGCATCCCTGCCCGTTTGCCCCAGGGGCTGGAACAGGCTGTCCCTGCCGCGGGGCAGGGAGCTCAGCGAGGCTCTCATTAGTCAGCCGCGCGGGGAGGAGCCGGGTGACCTTACGCTGGCTGGAGCCTCTGCGGCCATTAAACCTGGTCCCTTGGCGGTGCGCTGCCTCCCAAGTTCGAGAGGTGGGTGGAGCGGCCTTCCCCGAACTTAAGGAAGGATGAGGTGCTCGGGGTGGCTCTCTAGTAGCCCCCGGAACGCTGCATGGGAGACGGAGAAGTTGGGGGAGGCGGGCGTAAACAAGTGAGGGGGCAGCCTGCCAGCAGCCGCGCCCCCTGGCACCCCAGGCCGCGAGCGCCACCGTGGGTAGGCGACAATGATCATCCTCCCCGGGCTGCGCCGCCGCCTCTCAGGTGTCTGGTGAGCCTCCCCTGACTCTTCAAGGGATTCATAAGTTCACAGTCAAGTTCAGGGACAGGGAGGGGGCCAGTGAGGAACGCCAAGTGTGAGCTGGTGGCCCTGGGAGGGGTTAGAGGAGAACCGCGCACGGTCTCTGCCAGAATCCGCGGTATCCTGGGGTCCTGGTAACGCAGTTCCCTATTAATGACATAATGAATTCCTGCTTCCCCTGCCTCAGGCCTTTACACAGCGGATACACCCAACTCCAGCCTGGAATTGAGGGTCCACAGGACGGAAAAAGATGCGTGCGTCCATGGTAAGTGTGGGACATTGTGGGCTGCGGGAGGGCTGTGTTTTAGTGGGACTCATTGTCCTGGAGCCTGAGTTGTTACTGGGAGTGAGGGTCCTGGAGGATGTGGGACCACACCTCCCGCAGCGGCGGGCCATCAGGTGTCCCATGTGGGTTAGCCTGCTCCTGGTCCAGATGTCTCAGTACTCCTCTTGAAACAAATGCCAGGACAGGCAGGACATCCGGGAGGAGGGAGGTAGCAAGGGGCAACTTGCTCCGGGATGGCCCTGTCCTATTTCCCCCCACCTCCCGCCTGTCAGACCAGAACATCTGGACTGGCTCCTGGAGCCAGATGTTTGGTCTGCACCTGCTGCTCCAGACCCTGCCTGGGTCTAACCTTTTCTCCGGGCTTTTCTGGTCTCGGCTGACTCACCCCATGATCAGCCCTGACAGCAATTTCTCAGCTTTCACTTTTTCTTTTTCTAACCTGTGATCTGGTTCAGAAATCATAAAGGGGCTTAGCAAATGCTTCCCTTCGATCTAGCAGAACCTGCGACAGAGGGATTCAGGGCACCGGCCTCGGATGTAGACCCACCTGGGGTTGTTTTCCTACCCAGCCCTTGGCGGGGCACAGGCCTGCGGGGGCCGCTGTTCTGAGCACTTCTTGTCTCAAAGCCAGTTGGTTCCCCAGAGTGTATAAGACTCAATACACAGGACATGCTGGGAAGAGTGCTCCCTACGCAGAGTGAGTGCTCCCCTGTAATTCACTGGTATTACTATTTCAGTCCACAAAAAGATGCTACCAGGACTGGCAACGGGGTGGACCTGGCGTAGATGATGCCCCTAGTGGTCATTTTAAGCATCCCTCTCCTCGGTCTGACAACACTGTTTTTTTGTTTTTTTTTTCAAAGATTTTTAAAATTTATTTATTTGACAGAGATCACAAATAGGCAGAGAGGCAGGCAGAGAGAGAGGGAGGAGGAAGCAGGCTCCCCGCTGAGCAGAGAGCCCGATGCGGGGCTTGATCTCAGGACTCTGGGATCATGACCTGAGCTGAAGGCAGAGGCTTTAACCCACTGAGCCACCCAGGCGCCCCGACAACACTGTTTTCAATAATAATCATGAAACAGATAGTAAGAGTATCCAGGAAAGAAACAGTGAAAATTTTCTTATTTATTGAGGTTTGTATGTGGAATCATGCCAGTGCAAAAGTAAAAAAAAAAAAAAAAAGTAAGAAAAAGAAAAATAAGGTAAATATTATGGAGAAAAATAGGAAAAAGTCATGGATTAGGAGTTTAGGAGTTTTTAATTTGGGGCACCTGGCTGGCTCAGTCAGGAGAGCCCGTGACTCTTGATCCCAAGGTCGTGGGTTTGAGCCCCATGTTGGGTGTGGAGATTGCTTAAAAATAAAATCTTTTAAAGAAGTTTTTAATTGCATGAATGTAGTTTTGAAAGATAGCTTATAGATTGGTCATGGTCACGAATAATAGCAACAAGACAGTTTCTGTTTTAGAACTTTTACTTCTGGAAAGTTGTCTGTGACTTTGTCAGGATTGATCTTTGCATGTCCATGTTCCGTATTCAGCTGAGCTCGATTTGTCATCTGTCTTTGCTCACAGCTGACTGAAGGGCACTTTTTATTAATTTTAATTTCAAAAGCTCCTCTCACATGAAATCACAAATATACAACTAGGAAAAGTCTTAAATGTGAGGATAGGTTTGATAGAGATTCCTAAAAATCACATTTTGGAGTAAATTCCAGAAATTACAATACTGCCTATGTCTTTAAAAAAAAATCAATCTAGTGGCTTTTAAATATCTCCACATATGAAATATTTTCACTGAAACATCGTCACCAGAAAATTCATCATATGTTTTTATCTTATTTGGCAAAATTCTCCCGTTTTCCTTCTTCTGCAAAAGATTAGAGGAAACTGTTGAGTGATAGTGGGCACTGACATTTATTTAATCCATTGTTTTAGAATGAGTCTAGTTCTCAGTAAAAGGGATCCACTTCTCTTTTAGTTTCTTCTGGCACTGGGAGAGCCAACTCCTCTGTGTTTTGTGTTGAAACACAGGAAAACGCACAAACCGTGCCCAGCGTGAGCTCGAACCACTCTGAGCCACTTGGAACTTACTGTTGGAACAGTAGCTAAATCTGTGTGTCCGCAGACTAAACAACGGAGTGTTCTCTGATCGAACTTCCATGTAGAAGACCAAGTTTTTTAAAGAAAAAGAAATAAAAATGTGCTCATTTGAGGCTCATGTATGTAATTAAATCTTAATAATAACGGCAGCAATTAGAACTTCAAGGAAATAGCTTCGGGGGAGGGGTGAGTAGTATTTTATCACTAAAATTAAGTCACTAGTATTTTACCATTAATATTCTTTAAAATTGGTACCTGATACACAGCAGACCAACCTTTGGTATGTTTTTATTGTTGTTTTTTTAAAAGATTTTATTTATTTATTTGAGAGAGAGATCACAAGTAGGCAGAGAGGAGGGAGCAGGCTCCCCACTGAGCAGGGAGCCTGATGTGGGTCTCGATCCCAGGACCCTGAGACCATGACCCAAACTGAAGGCAGAGGCTCAATACACTGAGCCACCCAGGCGCCCCTATTGTTGGTTTTTTTAAAAAGATTTTTTAATATATTTTTTTTTATTATTTTTATTTTTTTAAAGATTTTTATTTATTTATTTGACAGAGAGAGATCACAAGTAGATGGAGAGGCAGGCAGAGAGAGAGAGAGAGAGAGAGAGAGAGAAGCAGGCTCCCCGCTGAGCAGAGAGCCCGACGCGGGACTCGATCCCAGGACCCTGAGATCATGACCTGAGCCGAAGGCAGCGGCCTAACCCACTGAGCCACCCAGGCGCCCCAGATTTTTTAATATTTTTATTTGAGAGAGAAGGAGAGAGAGAAAATGAGCAGGGGGAGGGGCAGAGGGAGAGGGACAAGCAGACTCCCAACTGAGCAGGGAGCCTGATGCAGGGCCTGATCCCAGGACCCTGAGATCATGACTTGAGCTAAAGTCAGCCACTTATCCAATTGAGATGTCCAGGCACCCCAAAGTGCATTCCTTTTTTTTTTTTTTTTAAGATTTTATTTATTTATTTAACACACAGAGAGAGAAATCACAAGTAGGCAGAGAGGCAGGCAGAGAAAGAGGGGGAAGCAGGCTCTCCGCTGAGCAGAGAGCCTGATGCGGAACTTGATCCCAGGACCCTGAGATCATGACCTGAGCCAAAGGGAGAGGCTTAACCCACTGAGATACCCAGGCACCACCCCCCAAGGTGTGTTCTTATGGTTTTAAAAATTTCCATGGACAAGTTATCCCTATATGCACCCAAAGAATACAGCTCCCACCTTCCTGCTCTTTTGAGTGTGTGGCTGCCTGCCTCTTTGGGCTTGTCGAATGTCATTTGTTGTTAGAGCAGCTGCCCGGACCTCCCTGGGATGGAGAGACTGCTTGTCTACTGTTCAGCCAGTATCTCTCTGAGCCCTTTATTTTTATTTATTTATTTATTTATTTATTTATTCCTTTATTTTTATTTAAATTCAGTTAATTAACATATTATTGGTTTTAAGGTAGATTTATGAGACTCATCAGTCTTATATAATACTCAGTGTTCATTACAACACGTGCCCTCCTTTATGTCCATTCCCCCACCCTCTCCCCTCCAGCAACTCTCAGTTTGTCTCCTATGATTAAGAGTCTCTTATGGTTTGTCTCCCTCTCTGATTTCGTCTTGTTTTATTTTTCCCTCTCTTCCCCACGATCCTGTTTTGTTTCTTGAATTCCACATATCAGTGAGATCATATGATAATTATTTTTCTCTGGTTGACTTATTTCGCTTAGGATAATACCCTCTAGTTCCATCCTCATTGTTGAAAAGGCAAGATTTCTTTTTTTGATGGCTGCATAATATTCCACTGTATATATGAACCACATCTTCTTCATCCATTCATCTGCAGATCGACATCTGGACTGTTTCCATAGTTTGGCTATTGTGGACATTGGTACTATAAACATTGGGGTGCACATGCCCCTTTGGATCACTACCTTTGTGTCTTTGGGGTAAATACCCAGTAGTGCAATTGCTGGGTCATAGGGTAGCTCTATTTTGAACTTTGAAGAACCTCCATGCTGTTTTCCAGAATGGCTGCACCAGCTTGCATTCCCACCAGTAGTATAGGAGGATTCCCCTTTTCTCTGAGCCTGTTAGTTCAGCCTGTGACACCTCCTGGTCAGGGCCAGTGCTGATCATTTCTCTCCTCTCCGTGTTCCAAAGTTGCTTAGAATGAGCGTGATGTAGAGGCAAAGCTCACCATGTGGCTTTTACTGGAAGTCAGTACCTTTGTGCGAACTCCCTGGTATAGTGGAAAGAATTTGGCCCTTGGATTCAGGAAAACCTACAGTGGAATCTTCCCACTGCTTCTTGGGGAGCACTGAGAACTTGGGCAAGTTACTTCCCATCTCTGAGCTGTTTCCTGACCTATAAAATAGGGTGGCTGTTAAGAATTCCAGATAACTCGTGTGCACGCAGTGCTGATAGTGGTGGTGGCCATCCTGGTTTCCAGAGGAGTTAGGAGGCAGTCCCGATTCATGCATAGCCCCGGCCTCAGGCCTGGAGGCCAAGAGCCTGGAGGGCCCTGGAAGTTTTGCCTCCTTTTTCTAGGATCCTCATAGGGGCTGGACCTGGTACTCACTAGAGCTGCCCCTGTTCCTCTCTCAGCAGCTGGCAAGGGAAGAGGTGATATGTCAGCCCAGCCCCTCCTCTACCTTCTCTCTAGGGCTGAGGCTGGAGAGTGTGGGTGGTTAGACCTCCCTCCCGCACATGCTTCCTGCACCCACCCACCCAGGGGCGCAGGGTCTCTACCCTCTCCCAGGTACTTGGTTTTACAGCTTTTGCCCCATGATCTCAGTTATTCCTCACACAAACTGCTGGATGGGTCTGTATGGCTCCATTGTACCAGAGAAGCCCAGAGAAGCTCAGTGATTCCTAAAGGTCACACAGCAGTAGAGCA